ACGAGCAAGGCAGTTCACTGTGCTGCAGATTCCCTGATAAACCTAGAGTAACCTGAAGACTTAACCTTCACCTGCTGCTCTATTTACTGAGAATTAGGAAGTGCTATAAGAAGGGCTTTCTGAAAGGAGATGACTTTTGCTTTGCAGCTCACCAGAACAGTCTCAGAGAGCCAATTAACTTGTTCAGAAGTTTAATCAACTTAGACCGAGGCTGACAGTACAGAGCAGCAGGGTTTCACCAGGAGCAAGCATACAGGAACGGAATAATTGGGAGGGAAAACAAGGAGCACACAGAGATTTTAGTTTCCTTGATGCCATTGGGCATCAAGAGCCCTAATCACCAGCCGGGTCACCAGCTCTGCCAGGCATAATGAGCTCTAATAACACTGTAAGAGCTATTAACCTGAACACTGGCTGTTTGTCACAGCCGGGATTATAAACCCTTTAACACCTCTTTCAGGAGAGTATTTCAGAGTAGTTACAGATTGTTTAAAGACTACACTAAATTCTTTAAGAGCAAGGTCTTCTGCTGGGTCAGTGAAGAAGCTGCAGGAGCAGCAGTAGGAGCCAAGGAGAGTCCTTGTCACAGCACCCTTCCACTCAGCACTGCTGCAGCTCCTCACAGGCAGCAGGAGCAGAGAAGATGAAAACACATCCAGAACAGTGTGAAATAAAGCAGTGTCTCCTCTAATCATCTGTTAAACACTGAAGAAAAATGCTGATCTATAATTTTTACCTAGCACCTCATTCCTTAAACCTCCATGAAGCTCACCACACCCAGCAAGTCCAAAATACACCACAGCCTTTACTGGTGCCGTATATAGCCCCTCAGCTTGTGAAGGCAGGCTCAGGTGGGCTCCCAGTAATCTGCTGCTGCTCCATATAAAGAAGAGTTCAAGCACCACCCTTAGATTCTGCTTCAGGAAAAGAAAAGGGGAGGGAAAGGAAGGGGAAGGAAAGTCTGCGCTATTTTTAAGCTTCTAGGTAAAAGAGGGTCAGGCTCTGTCAGATGCTTCTGTGTTTGAACTCAGAGATTTGGTGTTTTTAGGTGAAGCCTGTAAGTGTTGAGGACTCTTTGCTGTCTTACACCTGCAAGGTAAGAACTGAGAAAATGAGCAAAAACAAGCTATAGAGCAATTATGTAGCTGAGGAAAGGCTCTGCAGAAATCCTCCAAGTCATCATGCAAGGCTTCATTTTGTGCAGTCGTGTAAGGAAGGGCAATGAACATTTGGAAGTCATAAGGCAGACTTCAGCACAGGATTCAATGGGGCAGAGAGATCCCCAGTAATTACTGAGCTGTGCTGCCGGATTTCTTCTGTGTGGGTTTGTGATTTTGGAAATTGCAGCTGAGGTAATGTGACAGCAGGCCTGACTCAGCTTTTTCATACAGGGATTTTTAGCGGGAAGTATTTCTTGTGGCTTTTTCAGCCTTTTCTCAACGAAGAAAAAAGCTGAAACTTCAGTCTCCAGGAAAAGCAGGTTAAAGGGGCAGGGTGCAGCTCTGCAGTTCATCCCTCTGCTCTAAGCCAGAGCTGCCCTTATCGTTCCTGGCAGATCCTAGGATGCCATTGCAGGCTTCCTGGGGTGGAGAGCCAGTGTCTGATGCTCCAGCCACTTGCGGAGTCAGATTCTCCTTCTGCTTGAAGTGTTTTTTCCTTATATTGAACATAAATCTTGCACTACCTGCAGTGGCTATGGGCAGGTCATTTGTTTGCTGTCTTGCGTTCATCACCTTTCCAGTACAAGGACAGATGCTGTCCCAGCACACTTTCTCCCTGTGAAGTGCTCTGCTGGGACTCTGATGCCGAAGAAATGAAGGAGAGGGTTTTAGATGACTTTGTCTCCTCCCTATTGCTGAAGTTTGGGCTGGTGAGTGTAAATCTCCTACAGATCTGCAGTCAGAAAACAAAGGGTATGTTGTCTTAAAGTCTCTTTTAATCTTCCTATGCCAACCAAAAGAGATTTTAGAGAGGGTAGATGCTTCTCATCTGATGTTTTCTGTTACAGAAAGCTCCTGTGCTTCATTTACAGCTCCTCATAGATGATCTCAGCAGGTCCCTCTGCTTCCCCTGTGTCTGGCCCTGCCCCAAGGACAGGTGAGGTTGTTGTGGCAAATTGGTTTCTTGGTGCATGGTACCATGGGGGCTTCATCTTCCACCAGGATCCTGGAGTGAGAGGAGCTAATGTGTCTTAATGAAATGCACCTGGGATTTATGGCAGCTGAGGCAGTTTTGTCATCTCTGTGTTATACCCTTCACTGAAGGATTTGGAAGAAAGATTCTGGCAGATCCCTGGTGACTTACTTCAAAGCATGAAATACAAAGTGCCAATTTAGGGAAATAAATGGAAAAATAAATACAAATTAAGTTTTTTCTTTTTCATTTAGATTTAAGCACTTAAACCCCCCACTTTCTTGTCTTCAGAAGAGAACTTAAAAAGCTTTTTTCAAAGTTTAGTTTCCAAGCCACATATTACTGGAAAAAAAGGGATTTAAACTCTGTTGCTTTCAGAGAGGCCCTGGCAGGCTGCCTGTATGTTGATGAGCAGATCTCAAATATTTGTGCTTTGGATTTGGCTCATTAAACTTCTCTAAACAAGGATGCTTGTCCCAGCCCTTGAAATTGGAAAACACTGGTGGGTGCATTCAAAAGGTGGCAGTAGGAATGTCTTTGTACGTTACCTCCTTAGATATTTCAATTTTTTTCCCCAAAGAACTGGGCAGGTTGAGACTCCTAGATCTTTTAGGCTATAAATGACTAATTGGAATAATGTATGCAACCCAATAAACTTTTTCTCTTATTTGAAAGGTTGTTCTGCACCTGAAACCAATGTGGCTTTAATGATTTACCTGCTTATGCCCCTGGCATAAAGTTGTGAGCATTTTGAATCTGTCCTGGTGCTTCAATAACCAGACTACCTCGAACTGTGTGTCTCAGTGTTATGAAGATAAGCATACATAATGATACAGGTGGAAGGATTTTTGCTTGCTTCGTGATAGAAGGTAACTCTTCCAAAATCAGCGCGGGTTGAACATAAACACATTGTGGATGTGTTTTTTTCCATTGTCGATAACTCCAGCTAGGCATGACATTTTAGAGAGGGCTGGGACGAAGCACTGTCGATAACTCCAGCTAGGCGTGACATTTTAGAGAGGGCTGGATCTCTTTTTTTGCTTTTTAATTCTAGTCAATGCAGCAAACTGCAGGCAGGAGTGAGCTGAAGCTGTGGTGAAACTGCTCGATATGGGAGGAATGTTACAGCCCCGCAACCACATCAGCCTCGGCGAGTAATCCCTGCTCCACCACAGGCATCTCATGTGGTCCTCTGCCACCGGTACCCTGCACCCACAGCACAACATTCTGCAGCTGCCAAGTCTAGGTCTGGGTGGGGAATGCTTCAGAAGTGGGGACAAAGGAGGGAAAAAAAACATTTTGAGCTCTCTGTGTTGGAAGCAGGAGCAGACATGAAGTTTCAAGGCTTGTAGACCCATTTTTATCATGCATTTACATTGCAGATGGGCTGCTTAAAAGTTCCAGTCTTCATGGAGGTTGTGATATCTTGAAGACTTGGTATTTATTTTACAGCAAGGGGTCATTAACTTCTCTGTCTCCCCATCCTGATATTTGATGATGGCTGTTTACTGGCCTGGAAGGAGAAGAGTTAGTCAGTCTATTTTCTGGAGTTTTTTGGTGTTAAATTAATGAAAATTGCTACCCGAGATGATTATGTGGGTCTGGATGTTCAGTCTAGTGCTTTTAGCCCTGTACTGTGGGAAAGCACATGAAATAAACAAAACCAGGGTACTCAAAGCAAGTGTACTCCAAGCAATATCTTTATTTCAGCTCCTTTTCCAAATAGCTGTGGACAGGCGAGGAAGAGCAGGGAAGCAGTTTGCCTAGCAAGAACTTTTCATGTAGCCTTCATACAAACGGCTCGGGATGCGAACAAGAGACTGGGGGAATGGGCAAGGAGGAACTGGGGGAAACGGTGTTTCTTGCTGCTGTGTGCACCTTTCCACTGTTACGTCAATAAATTTTTAGGAAAAAAGAAACCAAATTCCCTAAAATGTCACCGCTTGCAATAAAACACCCTTTTTTCTTTCCAGTTTCTTCTCCACTTCCCAGAAATGAGGGTGCTACAAGAGAGTAGTTTTCAGACCTGAGCATGGCCTGAAATTCCAGCTTGGCAATGGGCACTCAGACACTGGGTCCAAAGGCAGGGTCCACCGTTTTCCTTAAAATGGGAAATACGTTCCCAGCCAAGCTGGATGTTCTTGTGTGAGAAGTATCACTAGCAGTACAGAAGTCTGGCAAAGTCATAGCATGTGGCTACAGCTGTACATAAAAATATGTTCCTCTGAAAAAGCTCTGCAAGATTGTGATGCTGTTATTTATCTAATTCTAGCATTATGCTCTGACCGTAATATTACATGAAAGGGAACAAAAACATAATTTAGGGTAAGTGTGCTGTGCAAAATATTGTTGATGCTGGTGTATTCTTGCCCACCTGAGTGGAGCGGACCTGATGCAGGTGCTGGTGAGCGTGGGCTCTTGTTAGCAAACTGCACACTACAAAGATGCTCAAGTATTGTTGCAGGAGTAATGATATTCCTTAACTAGCACCCAGATAACCGATATCTGAAGATGACCCTTAGATATAATAAAAATATCTTCTCTAAATCAGAGCGAAGAGGTTAAATTTTTGCTACTAACTTGGTAGACTCTTCAGGGATATTATTGGGGATCTATAGAGGACTGCAGAACTGGGGCATTCTGCGTGCGTCTTCTCCAGGACACGTAAGGGCTGAAGCCTTCTCAGTACTTGTGTAGGTTGCATCACCTTGAAACAGTCACCTCCATCCACACAGGTGTCCTTGGTGTGGATGGACAGTCCTGCCAGGAGGCCCGTAATCCTTCCAAGTGGAACTAGACATATGCATTTCTAAGAGGGAAGACACTAATGTATCTATCAAAGCTTTGAGCCTGAAGCTGATGAATGGCTACTCTATGGCTGGCTTGATTAAATGACCATTGAAGATGATGTAAACATCAGACTCCTCACTATAAATGGCGTTTTCTCGCTCCCGCTTGAACATCCTCACCCAGACCTCCTCTCCTTCCTGCAGGTCCAGCATCAGGCTCTGGCTCTGCATGATGCTCCGATCACTGGGCTGGGCGTAGAGGATGGCCACCTCTTTCTCATTCTTCATCAAATGCAGGTAGGTCTCCTTGAAGTTCCAGGTGTGGACGTTGAGGCTGAAGTAGTAGATTCCTGCCACATAGCAGAAGAACTTCCCCGAGAACATATTGAAGTGCTTGTAGAGGTTCACGAACTCGGTGTCGAAAGTGACGTGCTGGAAGTAGTCTGAGCTATGAAGGGGTTTTCTCCGACCCACTGAGAAAGCGGCGTAGAGCTGCTTGCAGGAATGGCCTTGTGGGCCAGCTTGGCCTTTCTGTCCCTTCCGTCCATTAAAGCCACGTAGCCCTCTTTCTCCCTCCTTCCCAACTGCTCCAGGGTACCCCTTCTCTCCCATTTCACCCTTCTCACCTGCAAGCATAAAGGAAAACCTTGTCAAACACAATCATGTGAAGCCCAGGCTGCAGACACATCCTGCTGGAGACAACCAGCAAAGCAGCTGCTAAAACACTGGTTTCCCAGCACAGATGTCTGGAAGCATTGGTCAGACACCAGCGCCTTCCAGATTCTCAGAAGGATAAAAATGCCAGGTGAGAGATTGACTCCGCTGAGCTTGTGGTGCCAATGTTCAATGTCCAATAGTGAAACTCCATGACCTTACCAGGCTGGTTACCTGAATCCAGTACTCATGAACCCAGCCCCTTCATGCAGAGGTTTGGGCAAGAAAAGTTATTGATTTTACTGAGGTCTGATCTGGGCCTGGGAGAGGGATTGGGTCTGTCTGGTCTGCGTACCCTGCTCACAGGACTCCCTGGCATGTCTCCTGTATTACATGCTTCATTTTTGTTTGCCTCTTACTGAGACAACAAATGTGCAAGGAAAAAAGTGCGTGAGCATCTTTCCTAGTTTCTAAACCTACCCTTTAGTAATTCTGCGATAACATTTGCATCTGGTTCTCAGTGTGACCTAACTCGAGCTTCCAGTGATACTGGGTTTTAATGGACTAAAGCCTTTTGCCGGCTCTTCTCACTTGCATATGTTTACAGCCTGTGCAATGTCACCCCTTGACCTTCCTTTGGTTAGATAAAGTGGATGAGTTTCTTAGTGTAGGGAGGAGCACAGCCTGCAAAACGAGGGTGAGCAAGTAAGAGAAAGGATGTTATCACAGTAGTCAGCTTTACCCACCTTTGAGGATGGTGATATCTATAGTGGGCTGGACTTTGGGTACTGAGTAGGCAGGGTCGCTGCTCATCCTCGTGTATCGTGAGGAGATGATGGAGACGGGCTGCTCTGAAGGCCCGCAGCATCGCACACACGAGAGGCGCCGCGGTTCCCGTCTCGGCAGACCCTTTTCCAGCGCGGCACCGACGTTTGCAGTGGACACCAAGAGCAGGAGAAACACGGCGCTCATCTTCAGCGGAGCCAGCTGGACCGAGCAAAGGAACAGAAATGATTAACGTGGTGATTCAAATCGGAGGTTCAGACGGGCCATCTGTTAATGTTACCGCAAGGTGCATTTCTTCTGATTAATTATTAATCTTGTAGTGGCACCAGGAGACTCCAGGTAAGAAGGGTGCCCCACTGCATACTGTTTACAAGCAATGGCAAAGGCAATCCCAGTCTCTCATTACCTACAGTTCAAATATCTGACATGAGACACCAGGTAAACAAAAGAAAAAAAAAAACCCACAACCCCAAGCCTGCAGCGATTGGAAGCTAAGGCTGAGATGCTTAAAGCTGCTGTAGCAAGCTCTGCTCAAGGCATGCTCACAGCCTGGCTCCTGTTGGAACAGCCCTCGCAAAAGCTGCTGGGTAAAGGCACGAAGTGTTGCTCTGTTAGTTCATTTATTGCATCACCATCATGAAAAATTCAAAATCAGATGCAGAAAATGAAACTTTAATTAAATGCATAGTACCTAAGCCCAATTTATTTTTTGAGGAAAAACCTGAAGGGAAATCAAAAGCATTTCTCTCTTTAGATAGTCTCTTGCTGGTAATCTTTTCCCAAGGTGACCGAGTCAAGCATTTTGTGGCTTTGACCATATCCAGGTGCTCTTCCTAGCAGAATTTCTGTGTACATTTTCCGCTTTTATTTTCCGATGTGCAGAATGGAAAGTCAAATAGCTGCAACCAAACAGACCAAACTGGGATTTGCTCTGCACAAATGCTAGTTTTTGAGATCATCTATGACATTTTCATCTGCTGCTGGTGAGCTCCAAAGGCCCTGCATACTGGTTGAAATGAACAAAGGAAAAAATGTTTTGGGTGGTGCAGAGGTGAGCTTTCTCTCTCTCCCCATCACCCTCCTTCATAAGGAGAGATTGGAGCTGGAGACAGGCATCTGCCTCCTCATACCATGCATAATTAGCCTCATTCTACTGATTGCAGTGGTGTTTCACACAAGACAGATTTTGGACCGATGCCTTTTTGGGTGTTATCCAAAGTCCAATTAGTCAGATGGACTCTTGCTGACCTCAGGCTGGGAACAGCTTTTAAGCTCCTCTTCTACCAGCTTTAATTCCTGGAATAGGTGAGGAAGGTAGGAGCTGGATGTCCTGGCTTTCAGGAGTGGCTCAGTGAACACACAGGTCTCATCTCCAGAGCAAGGGAGGGGATCCTGCCTTGGAACCCTACAAAGGCTTCACCGGGCACAAAACGGACCAGTTGAGAAAATACAACAAAAAAAGTGTCAATACAGGCAAGGTATGTGGATTGTACCAGCATTTTTTGGAGATGTATTCTTCTAGTTCTTACCTGCCCCAAAAGCACTGTCATTCACACCTCTTATTACTTGGTGTAATCCAGCTCCCTGGAAACCTGATGAATACTTATTAGCAGCAACATAGTAACTTTTCTTCTGACAGCAGGGAAAGTTCTTTCATCAAATCTGTCATAACTTGAAATGATCTTTCTATTCATAATTGTGCCTCATTCCAGGTACAAGTCTGAGAAGGGATTAATACTCCTTTTATATCAGTGTTCAGGGCCTGAATTTCATTTTCATTAAGTCTTTTTAATTTTCATTCACTTCTTAAGCCATCCTTGTGCTGCCAAACAGGAACAGAAATGCAATGGGAGTCTAAATGGACAGCAGGTCAGAAATGACCAGCCCGTATGTGGCCAGAACACAGAGTCTGCACCACGGAGAGAATTTGGGGTCCACGTCATGCTTCTGGGGTCTCCTCTGCTGTGATTAAAGTTTGTGCGTATATGTAACGGTCTACAGAAAACCCCATGTTCAATCTGAGTCCCAGGCAATCAGGGCCAATCTATCCTCTTTGGGACTAAAAGCTATTTAGCCTTCTCAGGAGTGCAGGTAGTCAATAACTTGGGGATAAAGTATAGGGCATTTCATTACATTTTCAGAACATTAAAACCAGAGGACATAATTGCTCATAATAACTTCATGAAGGAGAAAGAGTATTCATTAAGAGGAGTATTCATAATGGGCGGAAGGGAAAGGATGCATAAATATGAAGAAATTACTTTACATTTTTATAGGCCATTATTTTCTGTCAGATGGATGAATTTCCTATTTTTAGAAGTGACTTAAGGAAAAAGAAGTCTGGGTGAAAAATCAGTGTTCAGGTTGTTCATATTTTGTATTACTGTAATCCAAGAACCCACTGAAGAAACGTGGCCACTTGCATGATTCATGAAGAACAATTACTCAAGTTATTGGCTAGAAATTGCATTTGGAGAAAAAAAAAAATGAAGCAAATGATGCAACAAGCCTGGTAAGGATTTCCTTAGAACAAGATCATGTCATTCTGGAGAAAATAATGATCTGAGCCAAATTTCAGAGGAGAAAAACTGTAACTTTTGCGGTGGTGGGGAAGTCAAATCTGATGTGTTAAAAAAAAAAAAGATACAAAAAGGATGAAGCTCAGAATTTAAGATCTGTGAGGTAAAGTGAGAGGTGTTTTTTTTAGCGGTTTGGGTTTTTCCCCCTCCAAGATAATTATTGTGACTTTATTTTGTCAAATGTGGCGATGATGGATTTGACTTCAGCTGCACAGGTTTATGTTCTTGAGAAGACAGCAGACAACAAGCTCAGCTTCGCTCTGCTGTGGCCATGACTGACCAGAGCACAGGCTGGGATGCTGCCTCTCCTGCCCATCTTGCAGATCCCCCCATGGGAGGGACACCCATCCTCCTTCCCACCGTGATCCGACACGCTCGATCGTGCCTGAAAGGATGCATGAGTACCACACCGAATGCCCCGAGGCTGCAAAACTGAGTACGTTCCTCCTTGGTTGTCTTTCATGACACCACTCTAGAGATACAGGAGCATCCTGAAAGCAACAGATCAAAACTGGAAGTATAAATCAATTATAAACTGCCTTTGTCTTCCATACTGGGAACCTGCAAATCGCAACTGGGTTCAATCCAGAAATCTTGTTTCTGCTCTCGGGTAGAAAAACCCAGAGATGATGACAGACACACAGACATCGTAACGGCTGGGAGGAAAACTGGTCTCAAGTCTTTGGAAACTTTGAAGTCTATAAATGTTTCACGTGAGGACAAGGAGAAGCCCTCCCTCTCTCAAAACCATTTTTCAATTCCGCTTCTTTGGCTCTGCTTTTAGCTTGGGTTCATTTTGAAACAGTTGATTGACAACTGATGAGTTTGAAACGTTTCGGTTGAAAAGCTTGCTGCAACTTGTAGAAAAATGTAAATTGTTTTGATGCTTCTGACACTTCTTGCAAAACGCTTGCGAAGCAGCAAGCTCACCACCAGGTTGAGCGCACAGTCCATGTGGTTGCAATAGGAAATTTCAAGACAAATTATTTGCTCTTCCCATAGCACTTTTGAGCCTCCCCACTCCAAAGCTACTGAAGCACGGCGCAGCCCCCAGCCTCGGCAGGTGGAACAAGGATGAAACCCAACAACCAAGTGTGAATTTACTCTGATGCTAAGGAAGAAATCCTGCATGTGCTAAACAGGCAGATCTGTCTTCTGGCTAATATTTTGGCAAACAAAATGAAAGCTTATGAATGATGAAATGAGACATCTGAACCTGTTGAAAAGGCAGTTAATTTCAGTGAATTTTGGGGATGGGGATGGCTGGTGGTTGTGTTCATTATAGGATTAGAATACCTGTTATCGTTGGAGAGCTGTTTAAACGTAATGAAAGCTTTCTTTGACGGAAACCACACTTTAGCTAAGGTTTAAAAAGACTGTTTGCTTTTTCTGTCCCTTTTCTTCCCCTCTGAATTTCTCAGTAGAAAGACAAGAGTAAAATATTACTGAAAGGGATTTGTTTGCTCAGGTATTTCTGCCTGGCCCAAAACAAGAAGAAAAAGCAAGCAAGAATAGCAGTCTCCTTGCATTAAATTCAAGCACTCCCATTGCTTGGACCCTTTGGAAAGGGTGTGTCTGTCTGTCTGACCAGCGCTGGCCACACGAACCCTGTGATGGGTGCTGCACCAGCAGAGCCCGGGCACAGTGCTGGTGAGGATGCAGTGCCCAGACCAGGGACGCTGCTGTCTACCAGACAGACAGAACAGATGATTAAACACCATATTTTTGCTTTGCACTGACCTTGCAAGTACCCTGACTTCAATATAATCCATCAGGCTTTTTATTTACACATTTTTTTACCTGCTATGAAAAAGCTGCAT